ATATCGCTATAGAAGAAAATGAAAAATCCTTGTCGATTCAGCGAGATCTGTTTCGTGAAAAATATTTAGTGTCAACAGAAGTCCATTCTGAAATAGCTGAAACATTCCTTGATATTTGCGAGGCACAAACAATTCAAGAAGCAGAAGATTTCAGTAAATGGACAGCAACAACGAAAAATCAATGAAAAATTTGAATCTCTTGAAGAAAATAAAATATGGGTTCTAGTTCCAAAATCAAGCAATGTTAATATTATTTCAAATCGCTGGATTTTTAAAAAAAAATATAAAACGGATGGGACAATTTGTAAATAGAAGGCTTGTCGTAATACATAGCTTGTCGTAAGAGGCACAGAAGGATAATATTGATTACAAAGAAACATTCTCTCTGGTTGTGAAATATGATACTGTTAAATTAGTCGGTCGCTGCTATTATGGATCTGGAATTGATACAATTCGACGTGAATATTTTGTATGGTGATTTAAAAAAGACTATTTACATGGATCAACTAACTATTTTCTAGTTATGTAAACATGTGTGTTTGTTACGAAAAAGCAGGTATGAACTAAATAGCAAAACAAATAAAAAAATCAGTGAATTTATATCGTTCGATACAATTTAAAAATAATGTCTGTATGTATTATTTGATTTCAGAAACTTTAATTATGATATATTGCATGTTAATGATGGTATAATTTGTAATAATCGTTTAAAAATGAATGATTTATTTTCAAATTTCAGTTGAGTGTTCAAAATAAAATATTCTGAAGCTGAATATATTTGAAATGTAAATACAAAGAAATAAAGAATTACGAATTTTGAAAGATTTATTATAATTATTATATATAAAAAAAATATTAAAAGTAAATTTAATCATACAGATTGTTTTTCAATTGCAGTAATTGCTGATGCTAATGTTAAATTTAGTAAAATCATTGATACAAGTGAAAAGAACATTGAATCATTTCTTTAGAATCATTCTTTAGATAGAGAAACTATCGGTTCATTAATGTTTTTAATAATAATTGTAAGTTCTGATTTAGCATTCATTAAATATATTAAATAAATTTGCAGAAAAACTAAATAGAAATCATTGGAATGGAATTAAACGAATATTTAAATATTTAAAAAGAATGATAAATTATGATTTAATTTATACAATTAAGTGTCAAAAAATTCAATTTGAATTGTATATTGTGACTCTGATTGAGCAAATGACATAGATATCATAAAGAGCATCAATGGATGGATTTATTATTTGAACGGTGATAATATGATGTAATATAAACAATCAACAGTTGCTCAGCAACTGAGGCAAAATTTATAGCTTTGTGTTCGGCAACGAAAAAAATAACATGATTGAGACGAATTCTTGCGGAGTTGAATTATTTTCAAAATTTGCCAACGCTGATTTATTGTGAAAATCAAGTTACAATTATCTTAGTAAAAAATCCAGAATTATAAATCCAGAATAAAATTTAAACATGTAGATACATAGTATTATTTTAGTTACTAAAATACAGAATAGGAGAAATAAATATTAAATATATTAAAATTGATAAATAATTAGCCGATCCGTTATAAATTTAACATGAAATTATGAAAAATTTCAGAATTTGTTATTTCAGAATGATATTAAAAGGAATGTAGATTTATCTGATATGAATGTATAATTTTATAAAGATATTCGTCAAGTGAGAATGTTTAGTTCATATATGTAAAAGTGTAATCCATATCTTGTATATTTATGTGAATTGAGATCACTAGATGCAATCGCTATTTCGATTTTGTTTTGTTTGTTTTCCTTTTTGAACTGGCATGTGACGCGACATAGTGAGTTCAGTGTAGTAAAATAAAGACATCGGCACATTTATTATTTATATAACGTAGTTTATTCCTATTTTATTAAATATATTTTTTCTTATTATATATTTTTTATTTTAATCAAATAATTTCACAACTTATTCCCTAATATTTCCCTAATATTGTGTATTGTAGCTAATTATTAACTATTGATTAATAAAGATTTTTTTAAATAATAAAAATATTTAAAATGAAATAATGAAAATAATGATATTAAAAAATTAAAAAGAAATCAGAAAAATAATCTTTCATAATATGGAGAATGATAAATATACAGATTTATTTGAAAATATTTTAATAATACTTCATTATTTTTCATAACAGAATTATGTACGATGTATATTGAACGAATTTACATTTTCATCATAGAATCAATAATATTTTTATTGCTTCCGTATTTTGAAAATATCATATAATGGTATAAAATTTATATTTTCTTGAAACAAGACATAACGACAATATTAAATTTATGCTTTAATAATTAATCTTTAACATCAATTCTCTTCATAAAAAATATATCATAATCTTTTACTAGTATTAAAAATATGAATTTTATCATACCATTATAAATTTTAAAATCATATAAAACAATCATAAAAATATTTTAATAGAATTTATTACAATAATTTCTTATATTACATTTAATCTTAATTTTTACAGAATTTTAATCTCTATATCTATTTCAATTTATTTATTTATTTTTTATTTTATTTTTTATTTCAATTATTATTTCTCATAGTTTATATTTCTTATTTCAATTTTTATTATGAAGAGGATTAAAACAAAAAATTTGAATTTTCCATAGGTTAAACGTAATTAAATGGTATATTAATTATTCAAAGAATAAAGAAAAAGAAAATAAAAATCCAAAATTCTTCGAAGAAGAACGATAAAAATGGAAAAAATTTTTTTTTCGCCACTTTTAAATTCCAAGTTCTTATAATTGCAATTATATGGTTCTCGCGCGATTTCCTTTTTCTTCGATCTTCAATTGAAATCTACAAGTTCATATGCCTTGAAAAAAGTGGACATTTCGTTTTAATTTTTCAACTAATTATTTCAAAATCTTAAGAATTCTTTTGTACTTATTTCATATCCACGCGTAGTGATGGGATTTTGAACGTTTCGAATCGTTTAAAAGTTAAGTGTTTAAAATGCTGCGAAATTGAATCACTTTTCGAATTTGATTTGAAACTCAAAAACTTTTTGAAGTTATATATATATATATATATATATATATATATATATTCATCTTTGAAGTTTTGAAAATCTTGATCTTATCTTGATCTAGATGTATTTAAAGTAATATTATTTCAAATGACATTATTTTATTTCATAACTTTTTTCAGATTTGTTGTCAGTTATAAAATAACATATTATGGCATATTATTTAAAATATCATTTTAAATAATTTTATTATATTGAGACAAATAATTTTATTTTATAATTATTTTAAATGATTATTTCATTAATAATTTGAAATAATTATTTTAGATTATTTAAAATAGTATTTCAAATAATATTGTTTATTGTTTATTTGTTATAATTATCAGTTTTAATACATGATTATAACGCAATATTAGCACTATGTGATTGATTAATTACTAATATCAAATATGCTTATACTTAATTATGGATTATTTAAATTATTTACTATTATCTTTTTACTTCAAATATTTGAATTATTTTTCTATAAATATAATATGATAAAATCATATTCTATTAATTCTTGATATGAAAGTTATATTTGAAATTAACTAGCCATCATAGTCTTAATAAAAACAATGTTATTAGAGTAATTTATATTTGATTAAGTAATAAATTAAGTATTCTTGGTTATATACTAACTATTATATAGAATAATTCACTTGATTTATATCATTATTATTATCTGTAGCGAGAAATGTTTCATGTACAGTTGATTTATAGAATTCTATAAATTCTAATGTTGCTAAGTTTTTTCTATATATAGAGATCAAAAGATTAAATATCTAATATTATCTAATATTTTGATATTATTTTCTTTCTATGAATAAATGAAATGTGCAAAAAAGATATAAAGATAAAAAATAATTATTTTTTTAAATAGAATCATATTGATACAGTTTGATATTTTCTATAAAAAAATTAATTAATTTATGTTGAGAAAATATAGCAAATATAGCATAAATATAGCATAAATATAGAATTTTGAATTTTAGATAATTTATTGAAAGAAAAAGAAAAAAAAATAGAAAATGTGAATATTATTTTGTGAATATCATTTTATTTCTCAAATTCGAAATTTTTAAAATTTATTCTGTCTTATTCTAACTTATTTTTCTATTCTTATCTTTAATTTAAAATTAATATTAGCTAATTTTTAAATACAAATAAAGAATAAGAAAATAAATGCAAGTGAGATAAAATAATTCTTAGAGTTTCAAATTTATTAAAATTTCCAAGATGATCAAGATTTACAAGATTTTCAATATTCAAATTAATTCAAATTTATCTTATATAGATACAGAAAATCCGTTCGAAACTATTTGAAACATTTCGAATTTAGGGATTGAATTTGGAGTCCAAATTGAATTTATCATGAATCTATAAAATTGCGAAAAATTCGAATTATTTCGAACATTGAAATTTATAAATTCTTAAAAAGTCTTGGAAATCTTATTAATAATATTATTTAAAATTTTATTAATAATAAATTTTATTAATAAATAAAGAGTTATTTTGTCACATTTATTTTTTATTTTTCTTTCGAAAATTAGATTGGTATTTCAATTCTGAAAAAATAAGAAAAAAAAATTATAGATAAATGAAACAGAATAAATTTCAAAAATTTCAAATCAAATAAGATTTTCTATACTTTTAAAAAAATCAAGATTTTCAAAATTTTCGAGACTTTCTCGAAAAGAAAAAAAATTTTTAGACTTAAGAATTAAATAATTCGAATTTATTCTTTGATGTACAATACCTATTCGAAGCGATATGAAGCATTTTAAATCCCATCATTATGCATATGCATTTTCTACGCATCACGTAAAAGCGAAAAAAAGACTGGCGCCACTGTGTTTATTTAGCGCTAAAGTAATCGTGAGATTTTCGAAGAAGAAACTCTTTGTGTTTAATTTCGCGTCGCTTGATTTTTTCATATAGTAGTGAGAGCATCCCTCAAAAGATTTCTCAATTCGACGATTTCTTTCGTGAGCTTATCTATTTCATTCTCCTCCATCTCTTTCTCTTTTTGTCGGAAGTAACGTTGCACTAGCTGCGCCATCACTAAGGAAAATTTAACGTTTTTATCCTCCGTTATAGTTTCCTATCAAAAAGATGATGTATTTTAAAATTGATTTCTTTTTATCGATTTTTATAATATATAGTAAAATAAAAAGATTATTCAACTTTTTTTTTTATTCTATTTATTCAAAGCTATTTCATTCATTGTTTTTATTCGAAAATCTCGGGGAATATTGTATAGAAGAAAAAAATAATTTTCTTATGGAAATTGCACGAAAAAACAATATTGTGAAAATTTAATTTACTCGAAATAAATTTTTTAATATGATAATGTGAATAATTTTTTAATGAAATAATTAGACTGAAATTTTATTTATTTAATTATAATTAAAATGTTATCATGAAAATAACTAGATATATATAATTATATTTCTATATGTATACAAAATAATAATATATTTATGGAATACTTTTAAAAATTCGATTTTAGAAGTTAAAATAAATATAAATATACAAAAATGTTGGTTGAGACTTATTTATTATAAGCAATATAAATTTATTGAAATAAGATAAAGATAGAATTCACTTTGTATCTTTCTTCATCTGATAATTTTCAATTATTCATAATTTATCAATTAATTTATCAATTTATCAAATTAATATTTTTGTATTTATCTAATTTTGTGATTATTTTCTAGATTTTTTAAAAATATGAATATATTATGAATATATTAACCCTATAGAATATATATATTATATTCTCGTCTATAATTATAGATATATAAATTGTTAATTTTTAAATATAATTTTATAATTAATTTATAAATTTGTTTTTTTAATATAAAATTTATAAGTTTGTATTTAATATCTTTCTATTTAAAAAGATTATTTCTTTTTGCTATTATAAATTATATAATTTTATAAATTTTCTTTAAATTCAAAAAATTTCTTTGTATAATTGATTATCTTTCATTCTAATATATTTTGCTTTGATATATATAATTCTTTTTTTTTATTTTTTTCAACAATTACTATTTTGAATGAGTATTATTTTTATTATGTTTATGATTATATTTACAATATTATTAACATAGTATTTTCTTATAATATAAAAAATTAAATAAAATCATATTATAATTATAATTTACTTATTTTCAAATGTATTGTTAAATATCCAATTTATATTGTATTAAAAAAAAAATATTGAAATTCACCCCATATAAGAATTTTTAAAAATTATATGAATGTTTCATAGTAATTTTTAAGAATAACACTAACAATATAACAACAATGTTTCATGTCCCATCGTGCTCGTTTATCTGGTGGTGGTTTCAACAATAATTTCACGTACTCGATTACTGGCTGAATACCAACGTATGTTGGAATAATATTGAATGGTGGCGGAAGAGTGGTTGTTAGCATAAAGTCGACGTAAGTCTGAAAATCACATATTTGTAAGTTCTGAAGTTTTTATTATATTTATATATATCTTTATATATATCTTTATTATATATTTATTATTAAGATATAAGATATATTTATTTTGTCTGTTTTTTTATTATAAAATAATTATTTCTGATGATTCGAACCTCAGTTCGACCAAATGTCCATTCTACAAGTACATTTTCTGTGACTTTGGTCATCGTATTAGACATGCAAGCAATCAACATGTTTAAAATCATGATCACAGAAATAAAAGTGAATCCTGAAAAAAAAATTTCATATATTACATTTGGAATATATTAATTTAGATATATTTTAGATAAATAATATTTTTACGATATATCTGCAGATATATGTATTCCAATATAGGTATTGGCTGAATTATGTAATGTGATTACTTTAAATATAAATTAAATCATAAATTATGCGTTGTATTAGAAACTGTTATAGTTGCATAATACATATTTAATTTAGCATTATTAATTATTTTACAAATAAATACATAAAGAAATATGAAATTTTGTTTTTATAAAAAAAAAGAAAAGTGTGTATTTTTTTAATATATATATAATATATATAATTTCTAATCATTGCAAATTATTATTTCTTATAAAAATTTAGAATTTAATTTGAATTTTATGAAACTATAAACGAAACAATAATCTTACATTTATGCTTTTGTCTTTCAGATGATACAAAATTAGAATATTTAAATTAATAATTTTCATTATAAATTTTTTTACTTTATAATAATTTGTATTAAAAAATATATGATTCTTTTTAAAGTTCATTTTTTTATATTATATGTCCTCTATTTGTAAAACATATTAAAAATTAAAAATATTATGCAACTTTTATATGAAATATTTTTCATATAGCAAATGTAATTTATAAATTAAAGCCATCACATTATATTATCATATATCAAAAATGCTATCAAAAATATTATACAGTCATAACAGAATTAGAATTTATATTTATATATTTATTATACTATCTAGATCTAAATATATAGTAAGAAATAAATGAAGATTAAAAATATTTATACATAAGATTGCAAATTTTGTATTTGCTTTTCCAAAATAATTTTTAAAGAATATAATATTTATATTTTGTTGAATGTTAGATTGGAATTATTTATTTTTCAATTAATTTTGATTATGGAATCAAAAAAATTGATATGTAATGAATCTATTGATATGTAATGCAGATATATTGTGCAACAACAATCGCATATATTTATCAATAATGAAAATAATGATACTCAACTAAAAAAATAAAGAATTCTTTTGTACTTAACTATCCTTTCTTATTTTAGTTTTAGCTTTTTTTTTTGATTTCATTTGAATGAAATTTCAATTAAAATTAAATATAAAAAATAAACGATTTAATGATTAAATGATTAAATAATTGATATAGATTATGATGATTGATAATGTTGTATTTTCGAAGATTAATAATAATTTTAAAATAAAAAAATAAAAAATTTGCAATCTTATGCATACTTATCTTATATTTTTATTACTTTTCTTTATATAAAAATTGAATAAATATAGGAATTGCAATATTATATATTTAAATTTAAAATTATATAATTTATTTAATAAAATATAATTTAAGTAATATTTTTTTAATAAATTAATTAATTTAATTAATTATAAGTAATATTTTGCATTTTCCAATATTTAGAAGAAATGGAATTTAAGTGAATTTTACCGGCGAATGATATATATCCAATAAGCTCTGTGAAAGAATGATGATTGATGATAGTCTCGTTCTCTGTTTCTCCAGGAAGATTCTCAATTATCACATCAGCGCTTTCGATAGGACTCATACAAAAAAGCGCCCAAAAAAAAGTCTTCAGGGCGGTTGGAAAATTGATGAACGAGTTGACCTGTTGGGTCTTGATCTTTGATTCATCATCAATTTGTACCATATCCTCATAATATTGATAAAGTCTGCATGTTGCTAGAGACAGAAAGATTCAAAATATTATATCATCATTTTATTGATTATTTCATAACTAAATTTTATATTTTTTCTATTATTTAAATTCATATTTAACATTAAATCAAAAAACTAACAAATTAAATCAAATTTAACTGAAATTTTGAAATTTTGAAATTTGAAATTTTTTGATTTTGCAATTATTAAAACTGTAACTGTTTGCGAAAAAATTAATATTAATATTTATATTTAGAATACAAATCGATTAGCTTGAAGTAAGAATAACAAATTTTTTTTTTCAATCAAGATTTGATTATGGCATCGATAGTCATTGTTTTTGGTAATCGATTGTATTCTACTATCATTGAACCCTCGAAAAGATAAACACTGTACCTAAAGGCAAATGATTGTTTTAGCTATTAGACTAAAGTTGTTAAAGTTATGAAAATTTGTAAAATAGAAATTTTAAATATTACGAATTTGAAATTCATGAGAATAAGATTCACAAAGATATGGCTTTTTCAATTATAAAATATAAGTTGTATACTTGTCTTATATACTTTTTCTTTGCTGAAATAATATTTATTTTTCATGTCAGAAATTTTAACGATAAGAATAAAATTTCAAGATAAGAATAAAATTACTTCAATAATTTAATTCAATAATTTATTATTAAAACATCGAATAACCGAATAATGGAATAAAATAATACTGAAGTTATGAAATGAAGAATGAAAAGTGACTCACATATATATATATAACTATCTATGAATAAATGTTATTCAAGCATTTTAAATAAAGTTATTACTTATTCGAAATTTTTATTAGTTTTTCATCATTAATACCCAACTCTGTTTCACATTTATTTTATTACATATTATTTTATTTTATTTAATTTATAATTAATTTATTTCTATTTAAATACGATTAATTTCTATTAAATATTAATTAATTTCTATTAAATAAAATTTACATAAAATAGTGATTCACATAACTATCATAGAAATATTGCCAAACAAGATTCTATATTTTCAATATATGACGTTATGACATATGATTCTCATTTGCGAATAGAGGAAAGGCTAATAAAACGTTACCCAAAGCTAATAAAGCTATTTGAGGAGGAACTATAAGTAGTTGATTGCTATACTATTAGAACGCACGTATTAAGGTTTTTATACATTATACGATTTTTGTTCTCATGACATTATATGACAATATGACACTATATATATAACAAATTCAATGCCATGACAACAACGATGAAAATCTGTCATTTAATGTGATTGAAATCACAATTTATTATTGTGTAAAATATATTTTAAAACATGCATTTCGATAGATACTACAGCGATTGTATAATGTCTTTCAAAGTTGTCAGATATGCAACTTCTTTTACCATTAAAAGTAGTTTCATTTCTCTCTCGAAAGTTTCTGCATGAAAAGAATACGTGATATTACATTATCCTATATTATTTTTATATTAGACAGAGGTATATCACATAACATGATATGATGCTTAAATTAGACAGAAATCTGGTCACGTGACACATCTTTGCTTAATGTAACAACGATAGTAGGAATAATGTGTCATGTACTTCAAAATTCGCTACTTTTCACAGGAGAATTGAACTATTTTAGTAATAGGAATATTTCTATCCGATAATCCTGATTGCTTCCTAATTAATTTTTTTCTTTTTATTACTTTCAAATGAGAATGTAATATTTCATATTGAAAATTTAAAGCCTTGTTTGGTAATTTTTTTTTGGATTTTGTTTTCTTGAATCATAAAAACAAAAAAAAAACATGATTGATCTTATGATTGAAATAGAAAAAGATATTCATATTTTGTTCTATAACCTATATTTTAAATAATTTACAAGTGTTAAAACATTGCAATGCAGATATCTATTAAACGATGAATTTAAGTAATACTCATATAATTATATAATATTATATAATAACATTGAAATGATAGAACAACATTTCAGCTAATATGTGAGTTATTAATTTAAATTTGTCGTTAAATCGATGCTTATATTGGTCTATATTTTTTGCAATTTTTCAATATATGTAGATTGATATATATATATAGATTCAATATATTTAGATTAAAAAGCCATACGAACATCAAAAAATGAACATTATATTATCCACTTAACATAGTATTATATTGTAAAATATATAAACGTAGCTTATATAACTATTTTTAATGCCTTACAACGTAATGACGGAAAAAAAAAAAAAAATTAGAAATATGCATTGGAGATATGTGATTGCTAATATTCAAATTTTATTGTAAGTTATCATTAAACCATCGAGATTAAGTTAACATGATCCAAAAAATAAATAAAATAAAATTATTTGCATCCTAAAATGCAATAAAATATTTTTATTGCATAATTTGAAATACAAAAATTTTTATTTTTTAATCTAATAACATTCTTTTTCTTTTTGCATCATAAAAATAGCTGCAGAAATTATCACTGAACATTTTGTATTGACGAGTTGGATTTTCATTATCAATGAAATGAAGATGTATCAAATATTGGCAAATGCTTATATGTAATGACAATGCAACTTAATATTTGCTTTTTCGATGTTCCAATTTTAAATTTTTGGAAGCATATATGTTTCGAAAATTAGAATTCAAAAATTGACAAGAATAATTTTGCAAATTAACATATTCAAGATAGGCGATATATATATTTTATTAAGATTTTCTATTCTATTCGGACATATGATTGTGTCATGAACTTTTCCAAAATGTAAATAATATAAATAATGTAAAAAATGTAAATGTAAAAGTTTTTTCGATTTTTTTTCTATATATGTTCAATACATATTGTTAATATGTACAACAAAATTTTGAATTTTTCGCTTCTTTTTTTCAATTATTTTTTCAAGTATTTATCGAAAATCAATTCAATTTTTAGTGCAATCTCAAATATATTAAGCGTATATAAAATATAAGTTACTGTGGGATACTATGGGATACAATCATATATAAAGTATTTATAATTATTATTTTATGTATAGATTAAAGATTGTTATATATTAATTTATAATTAAGAAATATTATAGCTCAGTAGTTTTAAAGGATTAAAAATTTGGACATGTTGCAATTATAAATAAAAAAACTGATTTGTATCAACAATATAACGAAGAAATATAAAAAATTTTATATATTACCTGCAGAAAATGCAAGAATGATTATGGTAAAAAGAATAATAAATTTAAGAACATCTTTGATCATTTTCACAAGAGAAAGTTGAAGTGGTCCCAGATGGTAGTCCAGCTGGCAGATATACAATAATTTCAAGAAAGCCATTATTGTCGCCAAACAATAAATTCCTTCGGCAATTAATGTGGGATCATACGTGTTCCAGTATTTCCTCTCCAACTCGAGTTGTCCATTTATTTTCACATCCAGTGCGGCAGTTATCCAATATAGGAAGGTCAAAATAAAGAGGAATATCATGATCATCTCGAACCTGTCATCGATGAAATGTTCTCACTTTAAAATAAAAATTCTAGCATAAAAATAATAGTGAAATTTTATAAAATTATAAAAATAAATTATTCTGATAACTGGCTTATATTGGCTAAAATAAATAGCAATGTAAAATTGTAAGAAAAATAAAAATTATAACATATATACAATTGAAAAAACTATTATTTTAATAAAAATTATAACATATATACAATTGAAAAAACTATTATTTTAATTGGAATAAAATTTCAAAAATAAATTATTTTGTTTACTACTAGTATGATTGAAATTTTGATATATAGAAAAAATATTAACTTTTAAAATATTTAAAAAAAAAAAATTTAGATTTGTTATTTTATACTTTATATATGAAAATTATTTATATATTGAAAATTTCAATTTAAATCCATTGTTAAAAAAAACAATATCAAAATATATAATAAGATATTCATTTAAAGACAATATGATTTAAAATTATTGTCGCCAAACAATAAATTTTTTTTTTATATAAGTATTTATAGACTATAAATATTTAAATGCATAAAAAATTTATAAAAAAAATGTACTGAATAAAATCATGAAATGTACTGAATAAATTATCATAAAAACTTTTATATTTATTATAATTATTATAACATTTATTTATATATTTTTAAATTTATGAATAAAATAAAAATAAATAAATTAAAATGTTTGATAATAATAATTTCAATTTAATATTTATTTTCATAATATAATATTTGATAACAAAAAGTTTAACCAAAAAAGTTTACAAAATTCAAATATTAAAGTAAATAATAGAAATAGAAAAAATAAATATAAAAAAAGTAACAAAAATTGAAATAACATAAGATATATAAATTAGAAAATATTTGGAATTGTGAAAAAATTTTTTAATACTTTTAAATTACTTACTTCTTTAGATTTGTATTTTAAAGTATTTAAATTTTTTCTTCTTTAAAATTCTTTTTTAAATTTTAAATTGTTTATTAAAATAATAAATTTTCAGTAATTATTTAGAATAAAAATCATCTCAATCATAAATATTAAAAATTTTTATATACATAATTCAAAAACGAAGAGCGATTATTACACAGAGGTTCACGAAAATATTTGAACATTATCTTATAAAAAAATTTATCTAATTCAAAAATTCTGATTTCAATGAAATTTGGCATACATATAACAAATTATACATAAAATAATTTTTTTGTCGATGATAAATCTCTTTGATATTGAAAACTTAAAAAATTTTTTTTTAAATTTTAATATCTTTTCATGTTTTTTTATGATGATTTTATCTGAAAATATTTTCTAATAGAGTAATAACTAAATTTAAAATATTTTATAATATAAAATTTTTCTCTATTTCACATCATTATAAAGTTCTATTTAAAAAGAAAAAAATTCATTGAAACTGATAATGAATATTATTCTTTTTTAAAATGATATTTCAATAAAAAAAATTTGTTTCATATATGTATAAATATATTCTATATATTTTTATAAAATTTTATTAAAAATAAAAAAATTTAATAATTTTAATGAAATTTTATTAACATTTTAAAAAATGAAAAAATATATTCAAAATATTTTCACGAGTTACTATATATGCTGATTATGAAAGAAAGCAGTATAAATGTATAAGAATATAAAATATTTTTATATTTTTAAATAATTTGTATATTATTTTAATGTCAATTACAATAAATATAATATTCTTTTCTAGAAAATAATAGAATTTTTATTACTTTGAAACAATAGTAAATATAAATAAAAAGAGCAGTAACTGTTCTTATGAACTACTTATGAAGTTCTTTAAAATCATTCAATGTTTACATCGATTTATCAAAAAAATTATATTTTCAATAATAATTTTTTTCCTCTATAATTATAATATCTATAAGAAAAATTTCGAATTTTAAAATAATAATTTTGAAAAGAATTTCAAGGATATCATTATATCAAGAATTTAATTTCAAATTCGATGAGACGATCTCTATTTTAAATAATTATTTTTTCGAAAATTTACTATTCTAAAACTGTTAAATCCAGATCAGAATTTTCTTTCAAAATTTTATCATCACACCTAATAATGGAGATCGTACCAATACCAAGGTACCGCGAAGAACCTCTTCGGCCCATGTATAATACAAAGACGAATCAATCCCCACGAGAACGATGTAATGTAGACAATTAAAAGCCAGACATATACTGAAGAAGCACCTTGAGATCAGAAATCGAAGTGGAATTATTCAATTTTTTTCTTTATTATTTTTTGATCTTTAAATAGCTGAGCTGGGGAAAATTTGAAATAATTTGATACAAACTATCAAATCCTAAACAATAATTTAAACAAATACTATTTAAAAATATTATTTTTATATAACACTTAAAATATCATTTCATTTTATGCTTAAATCAAATATATTTGAAAACATTATTTTGTTTAATACATAAATCATGAAAAAGTATTATTCACTATTTATCGAATTGAAAATAGAAGATACAAATTTAAATAGAAAAATTAGAAATCTTATGTTTAGTATATAAATATAAATTATATTTTTTATGCCCTTTGTTATATGAAATATTTCATAAGGCAACAAACAAGACAACTTAATTAGTGATTCTTGAACAATAATTTCAAGCAACTTTTTCTTTTATGAAAATTTCCGTTTTGGTTTTGTTAATGAATTATATGAAAAACATTGACCAATCACAGAGCATATATATATATATATATATATATATATATATATATATATATATATATCACGATCAACAAGGCTTAAATTTTTATTTTAGCCTTGTTAATGAATTATTAGTATTAGCTAATCACAGAATAGTTAGATATATACCATTAATAAATTGCTGGATTCGACATATGTTGTTGATATTGACTATTTAGTCAAATTCTGCCAGCAACGCATATCCAATGCTATCTATCATCGCAATATTTCTACACGCTTTATGATTGATCAATATTTCTCATTAACAAAACGGAAATGAAAATTAAAGCCTTGTTGATCGAGGCGTAATAGATTTGTATGCTCTGTAATTAGCTAATGGTTTTCTTTAATAACTCGTTAATAAAACAAAAATTTTTGCAAAGAAAAAAATTGCTTGAAATCATCTCAAAAATTATTATTTAAATTTTGTCAGTTGACTTCTGGAATATTTTGTATATAAAATATATAATATTTTGTGTTATAAAATATTAAAGATAGAAATTGTCTTTTCGAAATATTATTATTTCATATAATTTTTTTATATTTCAATAAAATAGTATTTTTAAAATAGTATTTATATGAGTTGATATGAAAATATATAACTACTTGGAATACTATTTCAAAGAAAAATTTATTTGAAAAAATCTGTTTTGATGAAATGCAAATATTCATTTTTCTATCTATTTTAAAAATTTATTTTAAAAATTTATTTTCCTCAGCCCTCGAATGTTGATAGCAGATATAATCGTTATATAATACCTGTGTTTGGCGGTCCACGAAGTTGCTCGCTTTTGTCTATATTCGATTGAAGAAAAACGATAAGGAGAAACCATAAGTAACTAGCGGTTGATGAGATGAACTTATTCACGGGTGATTGCCAAAATTTCGATTTCTTAGAATTTGGAGCTACTAAAATCACTATTAATACCACGAAAAGTGTGAACATGCGTAATATTACGATTAGACACTTCATCCATGGTGTCATGATTTTCCATTCGTACCATCCCTCTATCCATTTGCTTGAAATTACCTAAAATTTAAATTTGATATCATATTGATTATTGATAAATTTGATGTTATCTTGATATTTGTTTATTCTGAATTTAACATTATATTAATCGATAAATTTTATGTTACATTATCACATTTCTAAATATCTTTCATTATCTTGTGTTTTATAGTAACTTTTTTTTTAATTTAATTTTTTTCTACTACATATTTTTATAATATTTAATTTTTTTGTATTAATTTCAATTTAACCATTTTATTAAATTATATACAATGTTAATATATTTTTGAGATATCTTTGAACTGTTTTAACAATTTTAAAAGAAGGTAAAATAAATATGAAAATATTAATTATATAAAAATATTGATTAATTATTTTAATAAATAATTTAAGTTTGCGGAGATAGACGAAATGGTGGTAACAACAGATAAAGTCATTTTTATCTACTTGTTTCGTTTTACAAATTTCAATTGTTTATAATTTAATAAATAATTAATAAAAAGCTTTAATTAATCAATTTTTCAAAGATTTTACATGAATATATTATTAATATGTCGAATGTATATTTCAAATATTATATGAAGAATTTAGAAGTGTAAGTATTTTTGAAAATGACATATAATCTGATCAAAAAATTAGGATCATTAAAAATTTTCAATATTTTTCATTGAAATTTTTAGTATAGCATTTATTAATAATTTTTATTAACGACTAATCTACTAATTATTTACTATTATTAATAAGTTATTAAGTCTTATTTTTATTAATTATTAATACACAAATATTTATATATTAATAATTTATATTTTCTTTCTTCTCGCTTTGATTAGAATCTGTTCTTTATTTTTTGATGATTTTATCAAATATCCAGAATTTTTTTTTAAATTAGCTAATATGATGACTTATAATATATTATAAATTGTAAATGTATTTAAATATATTTAATTTTTTGATCTGCGATTGTAGTTTCAAAAATCTTTTTATTATTTTTTAGTATTAAAAATCTTTTTAAATTTTTAAATTGACAAATCAATTATATTAACATTAAATATAATATTGAAGTAGTTATTTAATTAATTTGTAAATTGAAAATTTAAGCAATAAAGAAATTTTTTTATTAAATGAATTATATAAGTTATTTTCAAAGAATGTGTCTTATACTGATTTCTAAATCCTTCGTATAATCGTTGAAACATTATAATTATTTTTGAATATTTTAAATTTCAAAATTTGTGAAATTGGAATTGACTCAGATTCATAAATATTATATTAAATTTGATTTCATTCTTAAGTTAAGAAATATCTAATTAAATGCTCCATTCTATATAATAATTATTATATATCTACTATAAGAGAATATATAATCTCTTTCTATAATAATAAATTCATTTTCTTTATAACCTGTTGTATATTGGGATGGGCTACGAAGGATCTCTGTTTGTTATGCAAAGCGAATAACAGTCTTGGATACAGAAATTTGGACGAAAGAGCGAATCCAGTGGATTGTTTCAAAATTTCTTCTACTTCTTCTACGGTTCTTGCGCAACCGATCAAATCGGTTGCAAATTGCGAGACAGCCTGTAAACGAGATAATACGTTAAGATGGTTTTGATTGATTCAATAAAGATCTAAATGAAGAAAGACCTCAGAGAGACTTCTATATTCGTAATAAAATTCTCTGTCGAAGTTGGCAGCATTTCGTAGTTCGTAAGACAAATTGAACGCTTCCAAAATTGGATCATCGACGGTTTGACAAATGAATGCTGGATTCGTGACGGCTTTATATATGAATATTCGCATTTTTTCAGTCGTGAGCAGATCGTATTTTTCTCTTTCGCTTCTGCGCTATCGAACGAAAATATCGTTGGTTAAATTGATTTTCATTATATTCATATTCAATTCAATTAAGAATTAAGGGATCGTAATAAGAAGCGGATAAATACATTTTTGACAGTTTTTAACTTATTATGCATACTTAATGTATCTAAACGAAAAATTTTGTATTATATAGCATATGTGGATAAGATATTTTATCTATCTATATTTACATTAGGAGAAATTGTTTCAATGATTTTGACTTTGATATATAAATAATATCAAGGAGACTTTCTTAAATAATCTTCAAAAGATTTTAATCGTTAATAAAAATTAAAAAGTTATTAATCATTAAAAATCGAATATTTTTCAAGCGAATATCTTAATAACAGTTGGCTAAAATAAGATTTAGATTATTCGTGAAACTGTGATAACACATAATAATTGTGAATATATTTCAATATTTTGCAGCGTAATTTAATCATTTCTAATTATCTAATCTAACCATTGATATTTATGATCTGGTTATTTGTAATATTAATTAAGAAAAATGATATAAATATTCTCAATATCAACACAAACATTTTTTTTGTGTTTTTAACATATTAAAATTGGCTTTAGAAATTCGCGCGGAAAATTTTAGTTAAAAAAAATTTTTTAATAATTAACAATTTTTAAAGCAAATAAGCGTATATAACTTGTTTAAGATTTTCTTCAGAAAATGTTTTTGACAATTTATCTTATCTTCTCTTAATATAAATATTTATCGTATTTTTTTACATTTTAAGATTATAATTCATATATAGCAACAAGTTTAATAAATATTTATTTCTAATAACTTATTTCTATATATATAAATACTTATTTCTATTATACAAATGAAATAACATTTTATAATTTTTTAAAATAACAATGGATTAACATCAAATTAAAATGAATTGCAATAAAACATTATATAGAATATTCTACAAATAATGATATTTGAGAACGTAATTCTACATGAAAATAAGTCAAAAATGTAAAATAAAATGTTATGATTAAAATAATTCTTCTTATTTAAATTTTAAGTCTTTGTGTAATCGAGATTAAACATATTCAATCAAAGAATCGTAATTTTCACTTTAGAACACTCTTTATAAACACATTTGAATTCAATGATTTGCAAATATTTTATAGAGGATATATCTTATAGAGATTTTGAACAATTTTTTCTTATACATATACATATGTATAAGAGCTGTTTAGCCATAGTTTTTGAGATATTCATTTTCGAGATTTAATATTTTTTTTATTCTTACGAATAGAATTACTAAAAATTTGACAATTTTCCTGATATCTTATATAATGATCGTTCGGCTATATTTTTGGAAATATTTGTAAAAAAAGATTATTACTATTATTTATACAGCAGCTGATACTCAAAATGATATAATCTGATAAACTTATATTATCACTTATATTATTTATTACAATTATCTATTAAAAAGATTCTAAAAAATTATTCTAAAAAGTTTAAACATTCCACAAATCTAATAATATTAACAATCTTTTTTTACAAATATTTCGAAAATTATAACCGAGCGATTTTTATAAGATATCAAATTTTAGTACTTTGTTCATAAAGATAAAAAAAATATTAAATAAATATAGATTCGAAAATTTTTTTTTTCAAAATATAGACATTTGAATTATATAGAAATAGGAATATATTAAATAGAAATTAAATTAATCAATGGATTGACAGAAAAAGAATAATTACCTAATTTGCATGCTTTCTTGATTTAAATTTTTTGGATTTTTAGTTATGAGAGACATCTTAAAAATATAGTTAATAACAACAATATATATTGATAGCATGAAAATATTTAAAAATCGGATTATCATAAATTAGGAATATATCAGAAATTGTTGAACATCTCGGACAGAAATCGATACGATTCGAAAATGTCGATACGACACATATATTGTTTCAGAAGGAAATTATTTTCATAAAAATCATAATCAGAGAATGTCTATATATCTCGAAAAGGAAAAATCTATGTCTATATAATATTTTTCCATCATTTCTTTAAAAACAATAAAATACCTAATCAAAGTTTAGCCACCTTTTTCTTGAAACAATCTGTACATATAAAAAAAAGTTATTCTATATCTCACTTTTATAACAAACAAATCTCATTTTCTGTAATATTTCATATTTCAAAATATATATAATTATTAAAACTGATATTGAAACATCATTGATATACACAATCAATCATAATTCAAATATAAGATTTAATGAAATGAAATTATTATTCAGGACATCACGTTTATTACAATATAATCTTTATCATGCTAGATAAAAGTTAATAAAAAAAGCCCATACTTGCACGTTTCGCAATTGCAACTAGGCGGATGAGGTTTTGGGAGCATATGTAATCTATTCCGGAGGAAATTGATCATTTCGAACTGTCCATATTGCGCCGCTACAGTGAGTGGCGTTGTTTCATCCGGAAAATCAGCACTTTGGGTCACCCCTGCGTACTCCAATCCCGGAGACAATTGATTCAGTTTATTCAAAATAACCTGCGTGATCCTTATTTCGCCATCTCTGATAGCGTGTAAATGCGCATCGCCAGGATCGATGTAGGGATGGGTTAAAAGATACTCAACCATCGGTAGGTTTCTATCACGGACCGCGATATGAAGCGCGGTGACACCCTGGAAATAGGGTCTTTCGTTAATATATGTTGTTTTTGTAATAAAAAAAGGATGATTTGTAACACATGTACATACTGTAAAAAATGAAAGTTTTTATATATGATTTATTTGAGAAATAAATTCATCTAATTCAAATATTCTAATTTTATTGAAAATTTATGTACATGTAGAGAATAAATAATTTTATTGTTAACAAAAAAATTGTTTTGAGTTGATCAAATTAATACTTAAAGTTTTAATTATACAGGAAAATTTCAATGATTGACATAAAAAATAAAGTTAATTTGATTAATGAGTTGTTATTCAAAGTATCAAATAAACATAATTAACTGTAATGCCGAACGGTAATTAATCGAGATTATTCGACGAGTGATCAATTATAACTATGAATAAAAGTTAGTTATCGCAGCTGTTGTTTTAACTTAATTTTATCGAAGACTTCGAATAAGTCAGAAGTTTTTATGTACGTGCGTAAATAATAAATAAAATTAATATTTTAATTGTAAATAATTAATAATTTTTATTTACATAAAAATCATTTAAATATTTTCAAAAATAATTTATTTCTTATTTTACAAATAATGAACAATAAATAATTTTTAGATTTTTCTTGTCCTGAGATTGTTGTTATAATATTGATAGTCTTTTTTGATCAAAATTACAAATTGATCAAATTTCTTATTTAAATAATGAATATAAATATAACGAAGAATAAAATTTTGATTAAAAATATATAAAGAAGCTAATTTTTTTATATAAATATTACAATTTTTTTATATAAATATTATTTAAATAATTTCAAAAATAATCTATTTTTTATGTTTTATGCAATGTTACTTTGATATAAATAGATAGATCTTTATCGCTTTTGACAATTTTTAAATATGTTGTAAAATTAATTTGTAAATAATTTTGAACAATTTTTTTTTGCACATGATGTTGTTCAACTTTAATTTTCGATATTTGCAAAAAAAGACTTTATTTAATAACATTATATATATATTTAATAACATTATATATATATATTCGAAATATTCGAAAAACTGGAGTTAATTAAATATTGGTTTAACTAACCAAAGTTTTATTCGAGGAACAATCAATCAGTTATAAGTATAGAAGTTAGTAAAAATTAATGCAAAAAATGAAGTTGTTACTTCAATTTTATTTCATCAAAGATATTAAATAAATCAAAAATAAAAATGTCATAAATGATAAAATATTTTAATTTTAAATAAAAAATTTTTTAATATAATAATGATTGCAAATATTTCGAAAATTAAACCCAAACAGCGTTAAATGAAAAAATTAAGTTTAAAATTAAGTTTAAGTTAAAATATTTAAACAACTTAAAAAGTTAAAAGATTTTTACAATATATTCAAAAATCATAATAATCGATAAAATCTCCCTATTTTAAATAATTATTATTACTTTTTATTTGAATTCTGATGAAAAACAAATAATAAATAAAATACATTTTCAAAAATATAAATATTTATATGTATAAATGTAGACATAAAATGAATATAAATTTTTGTATATAAATTTTTATTTAATCTCTCAAATTCATTAATAAATAAAATTTTTATTAATAAATAAAATTCTTAAACTAATTATTTCTATTCTTATATTTTTTCTCGTTTTAAAATTTGAACTCCTTTGCCATTATTTTATAACTAAGGATGATAGAGAATTCTATTATTCTATTAACTTTGTAATTTAAAATTTTATTCGATATTCTATTATAACAAATTTATGTTTAAAAAAATAAAAAGGCACTAAAATTTTAAATATTGATTTCTTTCAATATTCTGCTAAAAGAAAATTATTTTATATATAATCTATTACATATAAAATTTCATTCCTTTTCTGATATAATGTTTGTAATATATTGGATCAATGTTTATCTCGAAAATAATAAGTTTGAACAAAAAAAGAAATCTTAATGCTTTTTTAGCTGAATATAATAGTGAACGCAAATTTAAGAATTAATTAGAATATTAATTATTAATTTTTTTATAACAATTCATAATCAGAAAAAGATTAAAGATTTGAAAATTTAAAATATAATTAATAATATAAAAATAATTAATAATATTATTTACAATTTTGAAATTTATAACACAATTCTTATTTTTATTAATATTTTTTCTTTTTGAAAAATGCACTTTTGTCACTTTTTTATATTTTTCAATTTTTAATTATGCATCGAAATAGTTAAATTATATTATATAATAGTTAATTATTTTCATGAAAAAATAATTTTCATTTTGATAAAATGATAATAATTGAATAAATAATGAATGATAATAATTGCATAAGTAAAACTATATTACATTATATATTTCTTATTTCTATAAAAAGAAATTATTTTGTTTGGATATGTATAAAAGTAAAAAAGACTGTAAAAATAGATAGTATATAAAATAGGAAAATATAGGATAAATATAAATTTTCCATTGAAAAAATAAAGAAATTTTTGATAAAAAAATTTTTTTTTTTTTGATAAAAAAATCTATATTAAAAATTATTTAAAAAAATATTAATAAAATATTGAAAGAAATTTTTCGTTTCAAAGTAAAAATATTGAAAAATAATCCGAAATAGTTGATCAAATATATCTAATGGAAGAGAAAAATTTTTTTATATTTTTATTTTTATTTCTATTAATAATTTTTATTTGTACAATTTAATATAATTTATTATTTTTTTATAAATTAAAATAAAATATATTGAAAGAGTTTACAATTTAAAAAAAAATTTCATTTACGATAATCAAAANGAATAATAATAAAAAATTTATAATAAAATATAATAAAATATAATAAATAATAAAATAAAAAATATAATATATTATTATATATTTATATATAAATATATTTATATATAATTATATTTATAAAAATTTCAATTTGCATGAATATATTCATAATTTACATATTATTCTTAAATTTTATATTTCGAAAAATTATTTTCATATATTAAATGGTTCATACATAATCAATGATATTGATTATATATAACAATAATATTATTATTAATTATAATTATAAATAATAATAAATTAAAATAATTTAATAGTATAAATTGATTAATTTATTACTGATAATATTATTGCTAATATTATTAATTGTATATAATTTCATTTAAATATTTTTTTGTTTAATATTAATTTGTATTTTAGTAGATATAAAATATATTTGATCAATATATTTTTACGTCACAATTTTTATTTTAAAGTAATAATTTTAAAAAATAGAAATTAAAAAATTTTGATTGTAATTTACATTTATCAAATATTATAATTTAATTTTGAATTTTTTTTTTAGAAGTTAATAAATTTGTTTGTTAATATTATTATACGCATAAATTCATTTTATCAGCTTATCAACTATCAATTTTTTTTTTAAATTTTCAAAAAAATTATTAAATTATTAATTTAATTCTAATTATTTTATTTATAATTTAATTAATTGAATTATTAAATTAATACTAATTATTTATATTGATATAGCTATTTCACTATATTACATGTTTTTAAATTAATTTTTAATAAAAGATTTCTTTAATCGAAATTATAATTAAAATATTTAAAAATAAAAATTTGCTTATGTTCAAATAAATCTAAAAATATCAGAGTTAATAATAGATATATTATTTATATATATTATTTATAATGTATAATATTATTATATTATTTATAATAGATTATTAATAATAGATAATAATATATTATATCTATAATATAATCTAATATAATATAATATAATATCTATAAAAAAAAATAATATAAAAAGAAAAAATTTTCATATATATAAATAATAAGATTCCCAAAACTCTTAAAAGAATTATAAAAACTTTATATTTCTTTCTCTTTTATCAGTATTAACAAGCGCCATAAATAAATATTTTTCTCTCCATGTTTTTCTTCCGAAAAATTCGAAAAATTTCAAATTTTTTTTAATAAAATTACAATTATTCATAAGAAATTTATTTTCAATTTATACTTTTAAAAAATTATGATTTCTTAAGTTTACAAAATCTGAAATCAAATTTCCATATAAGAATATTTATCTTCTACAAATCTCTCACAATGATATCAAACAGAAGAATCTTTTGCAAACATTTATATCTTAAGTTTTTAATTATTCTAATGTTAATATTAGTTATTTTATAAAATTCTCATCATTCGCATTTATATATTTATCTATTGCATTATATATTTATCAATTATCTTTCTAATTTTTACATAATAAATCAATTTTCAATATTACTTTTTTATTATTTAAGAATTTAAAAATTATAAAATTTTTTAAAATTTAACATTAAACATTAAAACTCATTTCTAATATAAAAAACATAAACAATAATATCAAAGAGAAAAATCTTCATAAATATTCATGCATTAATTTTTTTAATTTTTAAATTGTAATTATAGCAATTTTTAATATTATTTTTTACTTAATTCAAAATTACAAAACTTTCCAGAAGCAACAAAATAAAGATATGCAAACATTTATTTTGAACTCTTAACGATATTTTTAACTATTCAAAATATTCTTCTAAAATTTAAAACCAAATTCCCAAAATATCAAAAAAAAAAAAAATTTAGCAACATATTAATGTTTCCAATCTTTAAATTACTTCAATCTCCAATGTAATTTTTATCTATTTCTAAATTTTATAAAAATTTTGTAAAATCTAAGTTTTTACAATCTAAATTCTAAAACATTTAGAACTTTCACATTATCAAAAAAATCAAAAAAAGGAATTTTTTGCAAACATTTATATGTTAATCTTCTCTTCATCATTACTCTTTTCCATGATACTATCATTCGTTCAACAACGCAACAATCGATTCTTTCATGGAATATCCAGACCACGTTACACGTGTCACAAAAAGGCGTTCCACGTTTTCCAATCACGAATTCTCGTGAAATCGATTTTTCAACTTCTCTATATCTTCTCTTTTTCCCTTCTCTTCTCTCTCTTTGTCTTTTTT